AGGGTGGCAGTGCCCCCAGAGCTCCTGCTGGGATCCTCATGGTTTTGCTATTCCTGGGCCTTCTCTGCACCATTTCCATCCGTTTTCTGGGTCCTTGCCAGAGGGATCCCCAAAGCCTGATGCTGTGAGGATGCCCAGGGTGCAGACCATACCCTTGAGCAGATGTGAGACCCCTTGTTCCTCAGCCCTTTCCTGGGAGACTGTCTTCTCCTTCCAGATCTTCCAAGAGCCCAAGTGAGCCAGCCAGATGGAGCAGGTCCTGGCGGCATATGCCCAGTGAGTTAAGGTGAGGGGACAGGCCGGGTGTGGGGACCACGTGGGGCTGGCAGCTTCCCAGCCCTGGCTCAGCACTCTGGAGGGTGTCTTTCCACAGAGCTGTGTCCAGCCAGAAGGCCCAGTGACTGGGGCCCTGGTCCTCTCCGTGGTGGGAGGAAAGATGATCAAAGGGATCAGCCTCTTTGATGACCTTGGCTGGTAGGTGAGCTCCTCCTTCCTGCTGGGGCTGAGACCCCAGTGCCCTGCCTGTGGTCTGATGGTGCCAGGTCTGCACCCAGCCCAGCTGCTCAGGGTCCTCCCCAGTGGTATGGACCACAAAGACTGAAGGAAGGAGGGGGCACTGTGGAGCAGGGAATGAGGCAGGCTGTGAGCTCAGAGATCTGATTCATTGGCCTGGGTTGGGTCCAGACAGGCATGGGAGAGGCGGAGACCCTGGCCGTCAGTCACCTTGCGTGTCCATCCACGTGCATGGTAATGGTGGGCCTGCCCTACCCCAACATCAGGTCTTCCAAGCTGCAGGGGAAGATGGCCTACTTGGATCAGTGTCTCATGAGTCATGCCAGGTTGCAGAGGGGCCAGGGGGCTGGAGAGGAAGAGTGGGGTCACCCTAGGGCTGGGCCTGCGAGGCTCTGCGCTGTGACCCCGCTGTGCCAGCGATGCTTGGTCCACATCACGGGTGTAGAGATTTGGCTCTTTCAAAACCTCTTGGCTTCTCCACAAGGCCACCTGTCACCTTCTGCTGGCCTAGGCCTGTGAGGTTTGAGTCCCCAGGGACAGGAGGGATACCAGGCAGGAGGTGACAGATGCTTCCAATGATCTTGTCTCCTTTCCTGTCTCAGCCTAGGACCCCAGGGCAGGTCCCTCCCAGGAAGGCGCTGGCAGAGAACCCATGCATGAAGGCTGTCAACCAGTCCATAGGTGAGCCTGGGGCTATCCTGGGGCTGTCCTGGGTCTCGGACACACAGCTGGGACAGATGCATGGCTGGCAGGAGATGACAGGAAGGGGATCTTACCTGTCCTCTCTCCCATCTGAGGGCTGAGGGTGGAGGGACACAGAATGTGGAGGATGTGTGCTGTCAGGTACCCAAGCTGAACTTGGATCCCTGCCTCTGCCACCCAAGCAGGGCCATCTGGCACCAGAGCAACTCTGCCAGCATTGTGCTCCCAGAACAGTGGTATACCTGGCCCCTGTCCTAGGAAAGCTGCCTGCCTGGATCTGAGATGCATGGAGGTCAAAGCCACCTTCAGTGCCATGTTTGCTGCCCTGCAGAGTGTTAGGCTGGCCTTCTCCTTCCCTGCAAGGGGCCCCGCCCTGAGATGTGATTTCTCATAGCTGTTTCCTGCACCTTCAGATTCACCTGGAGAAGGTGGGGCCCTCCTGATGGCAGCCACATCACTGCCTGCCCCAGTTCCTCCTGTGCCTGAGAAAGTGGGTCCCATGTGCAGACTTCCGGGTCCACACCAGCTCCCCAGCCCCAGCAGCTGCCAGGATCCAGGGTCCCCAGCAAAGCCACCAGGAGAGGATTCAGCTTATCTCTTGGGAGCAGTGGGTCCTGCCGTGCTGGGCCTGGCCCTGAGCAGCTCAAGCTGGGACTCTTCCCACTCAGCATGGCCTGAGGTCAGCTTCCTGCCAGCCATCCAGAGCAACAGCCCCACCCCTCCACAGCAGCCACCTTCCCACAGGCGAAGCCCACCTGCCCCTGCCCTCCCCAGCAGACTTTCAGAGACCCTGTTTCTGTCACTGAGATGCTCTGTGGAAAGGGACCCTCCCTCCCTCTGGCTGCTCCTGCTCCCAGCAACCCTCCTCTCACCCCAGCCCAGAGAAAGGGGCCTTGCTCCCCTGAGCCTTCTTCTCCACAACCTGGAGCCCACAGGGAGCAGAACTCCTGGCTGCATGAGACGTGTCTGTCATGGCCAGCCACCGCCCCTGATGCACAGCACATTCAGCTCGGTTCTCATATTCCTCTTTATGGATTCATGGAGCTTTTCCTCTCCAGCCTCCTTAGTGAAGACAGCACTGAGGTGTAGGGGTGGCTCATGTGGCCACCATATCGGCGGAGCCCAGGCACGGCACAGCACCAGGATTGCCCTACCTCCCTGCTGATTCCTACGAGCACAGCTGGAGTCAGGCTCAGGGGTGTGGGTGGGCATGGTGGCCAGGACCCTCGGATTCCCAGGTGCCCTCCTCATCCTCTCCAGGGGGCCTGCTGCAGGGATGGCAGAGGTGGGATAGAGTTTGACATGCAAGCAAAGGCTCCTCCCAGGCCCTTGCTGGCTGCTGTCCCCGCACATTGCCAGACATGTCTGGGGAGGGAAAAGCCTTGTGAGGGAGGGAGGTCAGGCACAGGGTCACCCACTCCTGGAGATGGGGATGTGCAGAATACCCCAGGTCCCCAGGAAGCAGGGTGCCCCCTTCTATCTTTGTGCCTCATGACCAGCTTGTTAAAGAGATCTGACATCAGATCCATGCCCTGGCTCGTGGCTCTCATTGCAGGGGAAGCTCAGTGAGGAGGGGGCAGGGACAGGGAGGAGACCTCCAGTGGGCTCACTGGCTCTGAGCTTGCTCACCTGCCCAAGATGCCAACGGTTGGAGCTCACAGGCGACATGAGATGTGGCCCCAAGAGGCCTAAGCATTAAGACTGAGCTCACCCCAAGTCCTCTCAGAGTATTTCCAGCCTTGACCACTCCTTGGAAGTTCCTGGGGAGGACTCTGTCTGCTTGAGCTGGCTGAGGTGAGAGGACAGCCCCACTCAGGAGCCCAGGATGAGGATGTCAGCATGGCCCATCAAGCACCCCAGGGAAGTTGGGCCAGGCTGGCTGAACCACTCATCTGCCTATGGGGTGGGCAGTCCCCTGGGAACCTTCAGGGCCGAAGGGAGGGAGACTTTTGCTTGGAGCCCTCAGCTGCAGCAGGAGGAGGGCCTCACCTTGCTCCTGCTCCTGCTGCTTCTCCAACTTGCACTCCTTGATACTGCACAGCTTGACCTGGCCGATGTCCCTGGCTTGGCAGATGGACTCCAGCAGGGTGGCCCGGCCACTGGAGGGGAGGGGAGCACCACCTCCTTGGGAGCCCCCTAGACTGGTGCTGGGAGGGGAGAGGTGTGAGGAGGAAAGTTGGGCTTCCCGACCCTTACCAAGTCAGAGCCCGGTGTCCATACATCTGCACACCTCCCCACCTCCCACCTCAATCAGGTGCTACCCTGCAATATTGGACCCTGGGGCACTGATGTGCTAATAGGCCCACCATGACACGTGGGCCAGCAAAGGATTTCTGTGCCTCTTCTGGAGGCTGCACATAGACTTCAAGATGATGCAATATTAAAACAAAAGTCTTGACATTTCCATTTCCCAGTAGACCGCTTTCCTGCTGGTTCAGCCCGGGATGAGGGACACAGCCCCACCTTTCCAGGCCCCCTCCCAGGAGGGAGGTCAGAATTCCAGAGCTCTGCAATCTGGAAACTACTGTTTAGGAACTCAGTGTGATAAAACACTGCACATGGAAACCGTTCTGCAGATCTAGGATCCACTGCTCTGGCATCTACAGACAATCCTGAAGGGACCCAGACTTGCGGTGGTTCAGGAAGCAGAGCCCACCTGCCTCGCCCTACCTCAAGCAAGGGTACTGCTGCTGGTGTCCTCCAGGCAGCCTGAGCTGTTCAAGGTTTTAGTCTGGGGCAGGCCCGGGGGTGCCCTGGCCTTCACCGGAGTAGCTGGGGGAGGTGGCAGTGATGGTGCTCTTTGGACCCCACCTTGTAGGTCTGGAACACAGGCATGCGAGGCTGAGTGGGGGAGGAGGCTGAGTCAGGGAGCTCCCGGCCCAAGCTCCACCCTAGTGCCCAGCTCACCTGGCCTGAAGGTCTCTGCCACCTCTGTCTGGAAGGGGGGCAGTTCCAGGATGGTGCTGGGGCAGAGGGGTTGAGGCCAGGGCCCAGGTCAGTGCTGTGCATGAGGCCATCGGTGATGCCAGTCAGGTCAGGCGGGTAGGACGGCATGGCAATCTCAGGCACCGGGCCCAGGTCTGGTACATAGAAGTAGTTCTCCTCAGGGACCTGTGGGACCTGGGAGGGGACATGGTCTGCAGTGTCACCCTGGGGGCCAGAGAGCCCTCCACACCCCAGGATGGCAAGGGGCTCAGCAGGGCCCTGGCCTCGAGCCCCTCCTGCACCTGCTGCTTCAGCTGCTCTCGCTTGCTGATGGACAGAGGGGCATCGAACAGCTTCTCCTCTGTCTCCATCTCCAGCATCATGTGGGTCTTAGTGACAGCCCCCTCCAGGGGGTCCAAGAAGATGTCCTTCTTGTACCTATGGGGTGGGGGTGTTCAGGCAGGCCGGGTCCCTGACCACTCCTCCCTGCTTTGGGGCTGCAGCTTGCTCTGTGGTGCCCAGGCCTTACCAGATCTCACATCCAGACCACACTGGACGTGATGCCCTGGGTCCTCCCTGCCCCTGCAAGCCCTCTCCCACTATAGGTTCGGTGTGATGTTGAACAGCAGCAGGGAGCTGACAGGGCTGATGTTGCTGGGGAGACCTCCGGGCCCCTCCTTGTCCTCTTAGGCTCTGGCTCGGTGCTCACACACAGGAAATATTCCAGCTTCTCCTGGGGTGGTGACAGGCTCAATGCCTTCCCAGCCAGAATCCTCATGGGAGTCGGCAGCCTGCATCAGACCCCGGTGCCCTGCAACCAGGCCTGGGCTATGGCCACATGGCCCCCAGACCCACAGGGCTCATCCAGCAGCTCGTGCTTGCTCTGGGTGCAGTGGCACAGCCTTGGCACTGCGTGCCACCAAAGGTGGAGCTATACTCCTGCAGGTGCTCAGGAGCCGGGTACTTGGAGACACCTGTGGGCACAAGGACACCTGAGGGGCCTGAGAGCCCAGAGGAGCACAGCAGGCATGGGGTAGGGGTTGTGACAGGAAGCAAGTGTGAGGTAACCGGCAAGTGCAGGACTGGCATGGAACACAGGCTTGCACTACTTTGATGGCCTTCTTGCTGCCCTTGATCTTCTCAATCTTGTCTTGGGCCAAAGTGATCCTTTCCCCAATGACCTGCAGCTGACTGCAGCTCAGCTCTAGGCACTGGGAGATCCTGTCACAAAAGAGCACAGAAGCTGGCCTGCATTCTCACCCACGGCCTTCCCTCTCCCCATCTGCGCATCAGGGCCACCCCTGTCACTGTCTAGGTGAAGTACTATGTCCCGTATGGGGGTCTCCAACTTCATGGTTGGGCCCAAATTGGTACCTGCTCCTGCAGTCTGAGGGACATGGCTCCTGGCTGCAGGAGTCCACGCCACAAGCAGGGGCAGGCAGACCCCATCGTGACCACCTGCTGCACAGACAGCTGTTACAGCTGCTAGAGCATCTGCACAGATGTGTGGTTTTCACAGAAAGCTGCCTGTCTGCAGAGGAGGAAACAGTTCAGCCAGTCTGAGCCAGGAGCCAGGCCAGACAGACTGCCAGCACCTCATCCAAACCCCAGCCCTACTGAGGAAACGGACCCTGTGCAGAGCAGTGGCTCAGCAGAGTAATGCAGACTCCAAGGTGGCACGCGGGCTCTGGGCGGCCCTATCTTCACTCCTTCCACCTTCTGGTGGGTTACACCAGCTGCTCTGCTGTCCTCTGACAGGCGAGGCACAAACGTGCACATCTCATGCCCCCTGCATATGCAGACGCCTAAGTGCCTGGTTGTTTATTATAGTCTCTTCATGGAAGCCTCCTTGAGTCGTCATCTGCTGGTTGCATGAGAAAGTGCAGGAATAGCCTTCCCCCATGAAAGAGCAGAGCCAGGATTGGGGTTATGGGATCCACAAGAAACCCTGGGCTACATGGGATAGTTGGCAATGACTTCTTGGGCACTTGCAAAGAAGGCTTCCAGATCTGGAGCTCCTTCCACACAGGGGAGCCAGCTTGGCGCCCCAGGACCAGGATCCAACGCTTTTGCCCTCTTAAGATTTACATTTTAGGGCCAGGGATTTAGCTCAGTGGTCTCGCTGCCTGCTGCACAAGCCCAAGAACCCGAGTTCATCCCTGATACCAAAAAAAGATTTGCATTTTAATCCATAAAAAAACAATAAAACACTGATATGTCACAGAAGTTCTGAATCCACACATCACTGGTACAAGTGTAGCTTGATCCCAAGCTAGCATTCTAATGACCAAAAAAAAAAAAAATGTTTCTCGGTTGGTCCACCTCCATTTCCTTATCAAAAACTGGAGATAAAGAGATTCTCTGATACTAAGAGTTAAATAAGATATTTCTTGAGGAGTAGAACGGTTCTAAGGTATAAGGTATTATTAGGTAACCAAAGTAATATTAGTATTAATCAGTGGTTAATAGTAGTAGTGATATTGTAGCTTATGAAAATACTATGCTGAAAGATGATCAAAAAGATTATCTTTATGATAATTATTTAAGGGCTACCAGATATCAGAGCGGGGGATAAAGTGAAAACATTACAATTAATTTGATCCTTAGGGCATAATCCAACCTAGAAGAAGAGGAACAGACTTATTCTTTACAATCAAAGGACACAGGAAAAAGAATGAAAGAAAACGAGATTATGATGGCCATTTATGTGCTTTTAAAAGCAAAAGAAAAAAGAAAGAAATTAGTAATATATTTAACCCAGAAGATCTAAAATGTCATCGCAGCATGGAATCGACATAAAGCTGTTTTTCATTATTTCTTCCTCTAGTTCTCTGAGTTTGGGGTGCTCCTTGCACTTGAGTGCCCCTCAGTTCCAGCAAGTCACTGCCAGCACTGCCTGGCTGATATGGGAGCTGCTGGCTGCCAGACCTTCAGTCCCCATCCCATCCCAGCCCTCATGCTGCTTCTCTGTGTGTTCCTTTTCCTGTTCCTGCTCCCTCTCACTGGCAGAGAGGTGCAGACTCTGCTGAGAGGCTTTTCCGGGTTTCTGACCCAGAAGGGACTCTCACTCCTTAGTCTTGTATTGGAGGCCGGTCAGAGTGCTGATCGCAAGAGTTTAACTGTGTCTGAGGCTGTCCCCTCACTTCTTGTGGTGTCTTTTGCATCTTTGTTGTGGTCATGGTCTTCACTGAACAGCTGATCAGTAGAGACTTCCATAGGTCCTTGCTCCCTCCCTGTTGAGAAGAGTCTCACACACCCAGATGTGGTAGCTAAGGAGGAGTTCATTCCAAAACAAGCACAGAAATCACCTTCTCTCCTTTCCCCTCTGGATCCCTGGTGTGGGAAGCCAGCTCTGGTTTCTGTCTAATGGGGAGATGAGGGATCTGCACTCTGCCCATCTGGGTGATTTCTGGACCCCATCATGGTTCCTGCAGATCTCCTTCCCTGCATGCTTACTGCTGCCTCCACATGGAAGAAAACCCAGTGCAAAAAATGCTCACCTTCAGAGGCACCTGTCACATGCTGGGGTCCACAGGAAGCCCCTCCCTCTGAGCATCCAACAGTGCCTTCACTTGTGAGTGTGTTTGGCTTTTCCTCCTGCCATTCTTCAGTAATCTTCCAGTTATTTTTATAGTCACTACCATCTGCAATAATCACCTTTTCTATTTGAATTTTATTTTGGAGAGTTTTTTTCCTATACCTTCCATTAAATGTGCCATCATTTCTCTCATTTTTGCTTAATCTTGATGATTTATTTAATTTTATCTTGTCTCCTCCCCTGGTTCAATTATTTTTACTGATTTTTGATGCACTCTATTTTTGTAGGCCACTATGTTTCTTAATCCCATAATAAGTATTTTTTTCCTCTTCAAGAACTATGATTTTAGTATTCTGATTGTAGTGAGTTGACAGTTGGCTGTTTATTTCTTTCCTCATCCTCACATTTTTCAATATTTCTGAGACTATTTTTGCATATGACCACTCGTATGGCCATTAGAATTCTACAATTGGCTGGCCATAATCTACTATAAATACTCTAAATTTAATATGGAGATGCATTGAATTTACATGTTAATTCAGGGCAGAACTAGATAGGTTACAAAGGTCACCTTTGATATCCCTGATGGAATAAGTCTTTCCATTTATCCTGTTTAAGCATCTTTTGTTATTGGGATACATATATCTACACCTCTAGATCTTTCTTTGTAAACATTATATATACATACAAATTATACATATTCAAAATTTTTTCTTGTCCTCCCTATGCCTGGTTATTTTATAGAGTTTGTTGAAAATGTGAAATAAAATAATTTGTCTGCCACATTTTTATGTGTTTTATTTATGGCTTATGCAAAAAGTATCAACTTCATGTATCAAGCTTCACCTAATTTCTTGGTTCCTATATTAGTGTTTGGCAAATCTTTCAGACTTTGAAAGCACATGATCTTGTAGTGGTAGTTCATCTTCTCTCTCCAACTCCTTATAGATTTTCATTCTGATTTTTTTCCCACTGCTAATATGATGCATCACTACGCAGTGACCCTGGGCTTCTGTGTGTTGCTCCTCCTTTCAATGTTTTGCAATCAAATATGTCTGTTAGTTTTGGGGACCATACCTTATAACAAATGAGAGCATGTTCTTACTTTTCTAAGTTGCTCAGAATTTTTTATCAAGATATAGGCAAAATATTTCCTGGTTCCTCTTTAAGGTATTGTTTTTCCTTCACCTGTTAAATTTTAACATTTTGTTAATGATGTGGAATACTTATTACAGAGTAAAATCTTAATTGCTTGTGGTTTGCTGTTCTTTTATAAGACTGGAGTATATATTACTTTAGTACTTTGCATTTATCTTTAAGGGATTAGCTAATAACATTTCTTTGCAGTCACATCCTTGTTGAAGTGTTATGTTTACATATGCAATACAGTGTGTTTCTCACATGAAGGGATTGATAGATTTATATAAGGAAGGATGGAAGAGACAGTGGTGACATCAAATGGAAGTGAGTAATTCAAAGTAAATGGATGAATGTATACAGGAAAGGAGTAAACAGCTAATGAAACAGAGAGAATAATTTTATCATTGCTTCTTTCAAAAGTTTTAATTATATTCTTCCAAACTATAAAAAAATTTTAAATTGGAAAAATAAGAATTTATCTTTGTGTTACCTGCCCCAAAATTACAGAGCTACAGTTTTCCTCCTAGGGTTCCCCTGAAGCCCCCAAAGCCCTCTCTATAGTTCCTGGTCTGACTCACCTACTGAAATGAAATTCTCCTTTTATACACACTTTAGGCTTACTGTAAGGGGTTTCTTAAAAAAAAAAAATGTTTCTCATCAAAATAAATCAGATGAGAATTTAGCCCTGTTAATATTCTATGAAAAGGGGTTGAATGTCTAATGGAAGGTAAGATGATTATTTTAGTAAAAATTGGACTAAGTTCTTTGTCCTGAGACTTGTATTTCAACATTACAGTAGGCTAATTCATGGAGCAAGACCTAAAACTTCTGATTCAGTATCAGTTTTATTCCATCAGTGTGAAAACAATTATACTGGTTTGCTAGGGATTATGAGAAATAGTACTGTTATTCAGAGTGGATATAATCTATCTCTTTTAGACACACAGGCATTATTAAATCTTCCAAAGAGTTATGCAACATTCTAGAGTAGGTTCCACTGTGAATTCCTCATCAAAACTAACTAAACACCTCAAAGACTTACTTTGAATTTAAGTTTATATTTCATTCCTCAGTGGTATGCTTGTTTTCCTTTCTTTTAGATGCTGACATGACACTCAAAATATTGTCAGACAATATTTTAAGAAAGATAATTGTGTCATATCTGGAAAACAGGAACAAATGTAGGAAAACTTTGCTCCAGAGAGACACTGGTTCAGGAGAAGGGATGATGCAGATGTTAAGCAGCTGGTTTCCAAAGGCTCATACAGACAGGCTTGTCTTGAAACCCCAGCAGGAAGTGGATGCATCCTGGTAGCTGCCTGCACAGTAACAGCTCTGCCACTCATTACCTTCCTCAAGTCTTCGATTTCTTGAAATTGAAGTTTGGTTTATATTATTGATTATGATTTAGATCTAGACATCCTCCCCATTGCCTGAGGTTTTTTTGGGGGGGGGGTGTGAAGATAAATGGGCCATTGGGCCAGAATACTCAGCTCCACTGATGAGTTCAGTAGCAAAATGTCTTGTGAAGAGGTGGCATCTG